AGTACAGTTCATTTTGTCTTACTTTTTGAATGAATTAATTTAATTAAGAATATTAGTCATGTGTATTTAGGTAGAAGAACCATGTACAAATCCAGTTTATTATTTTTTAATCTTTTTTCCATATATTCTTGTAATTTAGGAAGGAATTTTAATTCCAAGAATTTCAAACGAGAGCTTAATACAGTAATTGGCGTAAATTAAGAATTAATAGTAATTTGTGGGAAAACTCATAAGGAGATAAATATTATTTTTAAATTCTACTCATCTCCTGTTAATTAAAGCTTTTCAATTATGCTAATTAAATATTTGTTTTAATTTATTGTTTTTTATCTCAATTAGTTAAGACTGACTCGAAAGATTTTAAATTGCAATTACGGGGAAGAGAAAAATACTATTAAATGACTTAAAGAGGGATCGAACCCTGGAGTTCCATACAAGAATGAGATTACTTTTTTGTATAATTGTATAAGGACTTTATATCCTAATATCTGTGATCTGTCTTTCAACAGTATCGTAAGGAGTTCCAGTGGATGAGGAAAGAGGTGAAGTCTAGATTAGAGTTCAACTCTGTGCGGTTTTGTCCTCCTATATACTGATATACCTTCTAGAGTATGCTTTCACTAATTACGCATGAAAATGACAAGAGCAAAGATAAGTTCTGTGAGCATGAGATCTAATTTGTGCCGTTATAGTTCTCTAAGGATTTATTCTTTTAATATTCAATATTTAATTTATCTTCATGTTTTAAATAACATTTGTTCTAACTTTGAAAGACTTTTGAGGATAAACATTTTACTTCTTTATTCATCTAAGGCATTATACATAGTAGAATGTTAATTAAATTAAATTTGCATCCAATTTCTCTCTTTTATAGATGATATAATAGAAGTTAGAATAAACTGAATTTATTAATCAAAAATATCACACCAAATTTCAATTTGGCCCATTTCCTCCTATTTTTGGAGAAATATGGCTTATTAAATTCATTTCTAAAAAATAAATAATATAAAAATTTTCTTCATTGAAATTTCCTAAGTATATTTCCATTTATTATTGACTTTTGATAAATAAGATTGCAATTATATAAATATAATTTCTTTCCAGCCTTAAGAGAATATAATGGTTTGATGCACCTAAGGATAAATCGTGTTTTGTTTTAAGAAACTTTGAACTTCCTTGAACTCGAAAGATTAATAAGTATAACTTAAATGTGGTTATTCGCTTCTTAAGTTATAGTATTATAAGGAATTAATTTGGAAATAATCAATATTAGATAATAGAAGATAAATTAAAGAATCAATTTATCAATCTCCCAAAGTCAATCTGAAAACTCATAGAGTTTGAAATAATAATGATCTACTCCATATTATTTGTAAATTTTTGATATTTCTATTTTTATTATTTAAGCAAGTAAAATCATTTATAAATCTTATTCCAAATTACCATTAAATAGAGAAGTAATCTAATCTTTTCTTGATTATTTTTTAATCAAAATCAATACTCATATATATAATAAAATGGAATAATACAATAGACCAAGTTCATAAGATTAAGACTGCACTAAGAAATATTGAGGAGATATCTTTTGGCAATCTTAAAATATATAATAATTAAAGACAAAATATCATATGCAAATAGTTGTATATAAAGGATCTATTTCAGTTACAGAATTTGCAATTTAAAACTTGGCAAGGTCAATTCTTATTAAGATATTTTTCTTCTTACTTAGTATTTGTTTGCAAAATAACTCATATGCCCTTAAGACATTGCAGTGTAAGTTTTAGCATTTGAAGTTTAGTAATAACCCATTTTATTCATAAGTTTAAATTGATTTCAGGAATAGCTGGAGAAACATATTGAGCATTGAGAGATATAAAGAATGACGTAATACTTACTTTTCAATAGCTAATTGTATAAAATCCATTTTTTAATTTCTTAAAATTCTCAATTATCATTTGAAATATCAATTTAAAATGAACTTTTAATTTATACTAGTAAATTGAATATCATATTGAAATTTATTAATAGCCAAATACATAATTAATTTCTTTTAATGCAAGATCTTTACTTTGAATCATTATTTTTTATTACATTCATCCTTTGAAATCATATTTAATAATAAAATCAATTTCAAATATATGATATATAATGAATAGAAATTTAATCTTCGATTAATAGTTGAGCCTCTATAATTAATTTAGCCTTAAAATGATTATATCCATCAGTACAATTTGAGAAAAATATTTACATATTATTTTAATATCCTACATATTGCTTTCTATATATATTTTTTACTATTAAAATTGATATAATGGAAATATTAAATGTTATAAGTACTTCTAGTCAAATTTCCAAAGTTTGTCCAATGGTTAGAGACCAGAACTGTAATTTTATCTTCAAATAAAATGATAATCAGCTTTATAATCAGCCTATCAATGATATAAAGAGAGAGAATGTAATTAATAAGATTATTTTATTAATGACTAATAAATGTATATATAAAATGTAAATAGATTTATTAAAATTAGATAATCATTTAAACCAAAAAATCAAAAATACTCTCCTTTTGATCTTATATATTTAAAACAACTTTATGAAATTTCAATTATAATCGTTAAGTATTTATTGCTACTTAGTAGTTTATATCGTCTAAGATTGAAAATACACTGAAAACTAAATGTATAGTCATTTCAATATATATAGCAACAATTATAAAATTTAATTAATTGTTATGCTTTAACCAAAAATGATAGAATTAGAAGATTAGCTTAACTGCAGCTAGAAACATAATTAACCAATACTTATGGTTATTTTTGATAATAAGTTAAAGGGAGAAGAATGTCTTTTGTGTGCAGAATGCATGGAAAACTTTGAATCAGAAAGTAAAATGATTGGATTTAAAAAGACACTTAGAATGATTGAAGAAAATCAAAAATGTAAATTAGAAAATATGTAAAGATTAATCAAACTCAATTAAGATATGGTCGAATCGTTGATCAGCTAAATTCATAAGCTAAAATCGGACCTTAATTAATTATTGGATGAATTGATATCAAATTCTATAGACTGGATTAAAAGCCTTAACGATATTGGATAAGCTAATACAACTTATAGTTTCCTTGACGAATTAGATGTATTAATTAATGGACCTAAAGAAAAAATATTGAATTAAGAATCAATTATTGAATAAATTAAAATAAATAACTATTCGCTTTGTGCCAAAATAAATATCAAATTAACCAATCTTTAAAATTAAGATTTGTATTAATAATGTGAAAACACATTGAGGAATATCATGTCATATCCACATCTAAAATCATTTGATAACTCAATTCATTAACAAGAGGAGTGCTATGCACTATCTTTTAATGGATCTGGATCACTCATGATATCTGGCAGTAATTGTGATATTAAAGTATGGAACTTTTAGTAAGAAACCTTGAGCGAAATTACTACTCTTAGCGGCCACAATTCGGCGATTACTTGTCTTATATTTAGTAAAAAGAGCAATAGTTTCTTATCAGCCAGTTATGATTAATCTATCTGTTGTTGGAGTTAAATAAATGATCAAGAATGGAAGTGTTCCTAGTTCTATTAGCAGCATACTAATTGCATAGAATGCTTGATTTTGAATCAAGCTGAAAACCAACTCATTTCTGGAGGAAGAGATTGCTAAATTAAAATTTGGAAAGTTGATTTTTTAAAGAACGAATTATGCTATTTATATTCATTAAATGAGCATGAGAACGATATTTGTAGTTTATGTTTAAATGAATCTGAGAATACTTTGGTTTCTTTGGATACTATCTAAATATTAATTTGGAAGATGGATGATTAACAGAATTGGTAATTTGATAATGTAGTTACATAAGCAATCCAATCACCTAGATCGAGGTTGTGTTTTATCAATAATCACTAATTGATTTTGGTGACGCGAAACGAAGTAGAAGACTTAATTTGCATTTTGGATATATAAAATGGAAAAAACCAACAATTTTAAATTATTGAAGAATTAAAATTAATTAAAAATGATGAATTGGGAGATACAAGTTTATTTCCTATCTGTTATAACAAAGAAAAGTAGATCATTATCTTCAAATATAAATTACACGTTTACTTTATTAAAATATCAAATGAAGGTACATTAAAATTGCTCTCTCAGATAGATTATTAAACATCATATATTTTTGGAACATTAACTAATGATGGAAAATATTTAGTAATTTGGGAGTAAGTTGGAAAGAAGTTTGATTACTATGAAATATAAGTAAATTGAAAATATTTCGTATATAAATCACAATAACATTCTTAATTTAGGATAGTAAAAATATAATGTAAAATGCAAATAGAGGGTGAAATGTTATTATTAGATGGTAGGGTTTAATATTTTATGGAACATAAAATTTTTAGTTTGTCTTTTATAAGATTTCTCTTAATTCAATTTTATATATATGTTATAATTTCAAAGTTCAATTAATATAATGCTTCTCTTTTATCTAGTCTTTGTAATTAAGAAATAACAAAGAAATTACTTTTGATTTTACAAAATTTATGAGATAACAAATTTTCCAACTAAAAATATAATCGAAAGTCTTAGAGAATAAAATATGACTATCTAACATCTTTAATCGTAACAACTTTTGGATGATACAATGATCACAATAAAGTAAAAAAAAAGCATACATTCATATTATCATTTGAAGAAGGCATAAAGGGTAATATAATAGTTAAGTTTAACCTTGAGAGTTTTTTAGATTAAATCAGTTATTAGGTTATATTTGTCTATTAAAATGTTTATTTTATGATAAAGAAGATATGTAAAATTATTAGGGCTAAAAAATTCAATAAATACCATCAAGAATTCAAAATCATAATAGAATACCTTTAAAGCAACTGAATATTTAAATACAAACTGAATAACATGTTCTTACAATTAATTTCTAAAAAATTCAGAAAAAAAGATGAAAATTTGATGACCTAAAATATGAAATAGTAATTTTAGTTGGATGCAATGAATTTATAATTACGCCTTTAATAAGGCAAAGCATAAAATAATTTGTTGTTTGCATTGAATAACAATTCTACTAGACAAAAAAGTTTTATAATTTCACTCTCTGATATGAATAAATTGATTATATTTCATATCATATTATTTATAAGGTGAATCTGACTGGATTACTTACTTATTTATCGGAAGCTGTAATGATAATAAAACCCTAGATTAATTTATTTTCCCTAATTTAAATGGAGAATCTTATTTACATTCATTAAAAATAAATACACCAATCACATCTTCTAAATTAATAGTATAAATTATAAACTACCACCTATTTTTCTTTATTGACCCTTCTTATTGCATATGTAAACAATTCATTAAACCTTTTCAGAGATTTTTAATCAAGATTTACCTCTTATAAAGCAAGGCTTATTAATTATTACCACATTTAAATCTTTTTACTAATTGCACTACTCTAAATAAATTAATTTAAGTTTTAGTAGTGAATTGTTTATCGGTTTAGTCCAACCAATTACAAAGAATATTCTTAAATTCTATTAAAATAGCATAACATCTTCTTATAATAAGAGATATACCTAAAATAGTAATTATTGACTCATTTTTTGTTGAAACAGAATTTAATATTCGAGAGGTAATAGATGTACTAAAATTCCAAAAAAGTATGTCTATTTCTCAGTTGAAGATAGTAAAAATAATCTACAAAATCATTTATCAAAATTAGACAATTAATAAATTGCTTTAACTGAAAATTTTGATCAAAATATAGAATTTCTTTATTTCAAATTAGTATTCTACTTTTGGATATAGTTCATCGTTAGATAAATTTCAAGGTAAATCAAAAAAAAAAGAGATAAGTATTATAACATGGCATTTCCTATATATATAATAAAAAAAATAACAGAATCCTCAGGGATTTGGAATTTAACGAAAAGTCTAATTATAAGTAGAATAAAAGTTATAATTTATAAAAGAGTATGATTACTAAGTAAAATAAGAGTAAGAAATCAGATATAATTTCGAATTGTTGAGATATGTGGTGGTGAAACATCTTATAAAATATAAATTAAATGAATCCAAATCTATTTCAAATCAGTTAATCCCTTATTAATATTATAAACAAAATGAATTTTAGATAATTCACTTTATCAAATTTTTAGCAACCAAAGATAAATTTGAAAATTTTGAAATTATTAAGAAATTGATTAAAGATAGTTCTAAAGGATTTATTTAATAATCGTTTGCTTCATTGAGATAATAAAATTAAATTAACCTGCTTAATTTCAAGTAGGCTTCGAACAATAACACATATCCTAGATATATAACTTAACTTAAACTAAAAAGAAGAGAAAATAATTGATTTAAATACTTAAAAAACCTGAGCTAGTTTCTGATTACAATCCAACTTTAATTCCCTACTCATCATAATAAGTTACTCCTTTAATAAATAAATTATACTACATTTTTCAAGTTAATCAAACTCCCTAAAATTGATATTCTTTTATCAACTTTTTTCCCATTTTGGTACATCCCCTAATAAATGATTTAACTATCGTTAATAAATTACTTATACAATTTATTGCTTAGCTCAATCCATTTTCCTTTCTTAATTCCTGTTTTGTCATATGATCCACCACCACTAAATTAAAAAATAAGATGATCATAACATTTAAATCAATCAAAATCGCTCTAAAATACAAATTCTAAAATGAGAACCTCATTAATCAACTTTTGATTGTTTTAATATTCTCCTTTAAACATCACTTATCTTTAACTAAGATATTAGAAATAATGCTAATTGTTATCATACCGATAGAAATTACCAATCAAGTCTATCCATAAAACGTTTTTAATACCATCCTAGTTGTATGATCCACCGACACTAAAGACAATATACATATTTACATCCATTCAAATTGATAAATACTTGAAAATCTGTAATTGATATCCCATTTATCAATCTTTTTATTAATTTTATATTCATCGCCATGGGGGATATATGAATTACTAAATATTAATTACAATTTCCAATACCTCAAAAATTTCTCTTAATTCTATCCATTTTCCATTCTTGTTATGCTTATCATTATATGTTCCACCGTCACTATAAATAAAATGTAAATGTAACATTACATATCCTAATTTTCATAGTCGTATTGAAGAGATTTAAGAGTGCATTTATGTTCACAATTAGATAATGAGGCTTGCTTATTCTATAAAATTTGTTTGGGTTATTATATCTGGTCTATTTCAAAACATAGCATGGCTGAATTGAAACTTCTTAGGATTAGAGAATTATTTTGAACTAGTAGATTTTCACATAATCAAATATGAAACCTTATTCTCTTACAATAGGTTTTTATAATATAAAATAATTAATAAAAAGATAAAATATCCTGTTCATATTTAAGACTTTGCTAAGTTTATTTAAATAAGATGAATATCTTTCCAAGATGAACTAATCTATATAAATAAATTTGGTAGGATATTTGGTTTCATTTTAAAGAAAATTAAAAAATTTTGAATAATCTTATCGAGATAAATAGATAATGAATTCATAAGAATAGATATTTTGAGTCTATAATTTACTCATACAAAAAAACAAAAGTGTTTTGTGTGATTCAAACTTCTTAACAGTAGATAACATTAATACAGATATTTTTCTGATCAAATAATATATTGTATTTTTACATATTTGAATACAGGAATATAAAAATTAAGTCTTTTAATGAAAGAAAGTTGAGAAATAATAAAATTAAACAAAAAAAATTAATAATTGCTCTTATAAGCAAAATGAGCTATTTTAAGAATCTCAATATACATAAGGAAGAAACTATAAAAATACTTTAAGAGTAAATATAGAGAAATTAAATTATCTCATCATGCAATAATTCTTGTTAATTAATTAAGGATTAAAAATTATATAAATATTGTTGCTAAATGAGATTTATGTTATTGATATTTACCTTATAGTATTCAAACTTCTTTGCGAGTGAAGCAAAAATCTGTAATAATATATTTTTATTAAATTCACTGTTAATTCTGTGAAAATACTTATTATATGTATAAAATAATTATGCTTATGGAATAGAGCTTAATCATTACATAGATCACTTCTATCAACTTCAAGAATCAATGTATTTTGGAGAAAGAATATTGATGATAACCCTTTAAGATTTTCCTTATACTATTGCTATCCAACTACAATAGTTGTAGGATGAATTGCTTTGACTTTGGGTATCTCATAAATTATTGAATTCTTTGTCGTTATGAAATAAACATGATGAGATTTTGAGTGGAATAAAGAATAAACGATTTGTAAATCTTTTCGATAGGGTGTGATGAAATAAGAGAAACACACTTTTGATTGTTTTGCTTCATTGTTTAATCTCAAACTATCCTTTATATTAATCATTTAATTGAAATCTATTTTATTATTTGATTTTATGTTTGAATTAGAAGTGATGCTTCTTTAATCTAATTTTTATACTTATCTTGTAATCGTAGATATTATCTTTAAGAATTCTTATTCAATTTTTCTTTTTCAACATAAGAAAAACTATTATAGCTATAATTAATTAAAATTCTCATTCATTATTAGCCCTATATATCATTTTCTAATCAATCTATCTATTGCTAATTGCTTATTTTTCTTTTAGATTTATCATAAACTAAATAATTGGATTCTCATTTTTCCAACTTCTATCAATGATTATTACATATTATTAATTAATATAAGAGGGAAAATATCTTTTATTTCTATTATATGAATAAATTATAAATCGCACCTTCCATTCCAGAAGAAGTCAAAGAGATCATTGATGTTAGTTGTGATGATGAAGATCTTGAAAATAATCTAAAAACATTTCTAGATTAATTAGATGATGAAAAAAGGACTTAAATAATCTAAAGCTTACATTAAATGTACCCTTAACAGACATTTCTAAGAAGGCCTTATTTTGCATAAACACAGGAAAATCTTAGAGAATAGTACTCAGAGAATTAATAAGAAAAAAAATTTGATTAAATACTATTGGTGTAAAAAATTGAGCAATACTGTAAACAGAATTTGATACCTAGTTCAATTAAGGATTATCGTATTCCTCTTTAAAAATTAGAAAATGATTTACATTTAATTGTTGATCTTATAGAAGTAGTAAAATAAAAGGGATAGCCTAATTTTATATCGTTTTTAAAATTGCTTATTAACTTGTTCTTTCTTGAATGTGAAAATTAAATAAAAGGATAAATTCATTAATTAGTTGGGTTTCTTTTAGAAAATTAAATATATAAATTTTAATATTATATTGCATAAGTGACTTAAGATGAATACATTCAACTTTATTTTCTAGATTGCATTTATAAAGTCTAATCCAAGTAGATATCAGTTAAATAAGGTAAAGAAAGTTTATAATAAAATTGTAAAGATAAACAAATCCTTTTTTTATTTGAATTATTTACTCTTAAACATGGATCTCATACTGATAATTTACTAGGGTTTATTAAAAGTCTAATTTGTGTGAAGAGTAAAAAAGTAAATAAAGATGAGTTGATTTAATATGTTTCTTTGACAGAAAATTTTAATGAAAATTTAGACTTTTTGTACCTAAAGTTAGTGTTCTATTTTTGGATTTAATTTATTGAAATTTTTAATATTAAAGAAAGTATTTTGAATGTTGAAAATGGATTAAGTCGATCTGAAAAGAAGAAATAATTTTTAGAAAACAATATTAAAAAATTGAATTCTAAAGAGAATAACATGATCTACAGATATCTTATCCAAAAAATACTTCATTATAGCACTCTTGAGGATGAGGATTTTAAAGAAGGGTACTGTTTATAGGAGGCTTAAGAGAAGTAATTTATCTAAAAGGTTGGCTAATTTAAATCCTCGAATACTGAAAAACTATAAGAATTTGCAGAAACCTCAAAAAAACTAATGTTTTACCAACTTAAATCGTTATAAAGTCAATAATAATATTTGACAAAAGAAATAAATATCTTATACTTTTTAGCTACAAATGAATTAAATATTAATTAATACAAATGTTTAATCAATATTATTAAAACCAACCTTCATGATCATAATGATAGGAAATTGAATAATTTTCCTAAAGAATTAAAGATTAACCTTCTTCATTTGGAGTAATCGTTAAAAAGTGAAAGTTAAATAAAAATGTCTAGATTTTTTATTTAAAATGAAACCTTTAATCAATACCCTAATAAATTGATGATTAAAATGGAAGACTTTAATATTTCTTTAACATCAAATAACTAAATGCAGTAGACTGTCAATTATTGGTTAGAGGATAAAAGGAATAAAGATAATTATAACAAATTACTTCCATACTATTTTAATATTATCAAAAGGGGTGAATCACCAGAAGAATTATTAAGCTTAATTAACAAAAAAGTTATTTAAGAAAAAGAAGGTAGAAGGAATGAAACTTTGAACTTCAAATCTCTATTTTAATTACTTTACATTAATTCAGATAAAGAGCTTTAAATGATGCTATTAAAATTACACTCAAAAAATCATCCTGTACCATTGCTTTATTAGAATCCTTATTTAGAAAAAGGTAAAACTTCAATAAAAGACTGTTATGTTTTTAATGCTAATATTTTCTACCTATTGTAAAATGATTTTCCAATAATAAACTTTTCTCTAACTTAAACAGTTAATCAATTTGGAAAATCTGAGTTAATTAATATGTTATTTTATTCTGATCAAAAAGAAGATCAGAAATTTGAAATTTCTGATTCTTCTTCAATAAATAACCATTCAGTAGATTGTTAATTTGATTTTTCCTTTAATGGAAGCAGAAACTACTTAATAGCTGATGTGCATGGATAATTAGAAGATGAAATATTCTAGGAATTACTCCCTTTTTTTTAATTATGGATAATATAGATGTAAACAGAGGATGAATTTGACGAAACTGTTGACAAGTTAATAGTATTGTGCGAGAAAATGAAATTAAATTGTAAGCCTAAAATTATTTTAATTATTCGAGATTCAGAAAAAAAGGAATTGAATAAGGAAAAAATTAAATAGCTTAAAAAAAAAGAATTCGATTTTTGCACGAGCCAAATTCAGAATCTACATCAATAAGAGAATTAGGCTATTAAGAAGGCTGAAAGGGAAAAAATAAAAATGTTTATTTTACAATAAATTGGCACTCGAAATGAAACTGTTTAAGAAGCTTAAATATAAAATTCATTTTTGTAAATTTGCAATGCCTTTAATGTGAATGATTAGGAAATCAGGAAGTCTTAAGATATTCTCAATAATTTAACAGATGAATTAAACAAAATAATTTAAAATGAAAATGGATTTTATTAAATTGAAGCATTTCCATTAAGAAATTTAGCTTTGGAAATAAACTCTAAGAAGCAATAAAGATAATAATTAAATTTTACATCATATTAATTAGAATAAGAGTTGGAGAAAAAAAAAGATTGCATAGTTAATCTTAAAAATGAGTAGAATAGAGATTAAGAAGAAAAAATAAAATAAAAAGAAAATGAAAAACTAGAAATTGAAAACAAAATTAAATAAACTAAAGCAAAATTAGAATAATTTTAAAATGAAATTGAGAATTTGGAGGTTAAATTAAGAAAGCCAAAATTTAATGAATCTCAATTAATAAAATACTTTAGTCTCATTTTTACACAAGAAAATTATTACGTAACCTACTTAAGATTTGTGGAGCACATTGCAAAATTCAACTAAAAAAATCTTAAAAATTTAAATATAAAGATAGAGGATATAAGATAGTAACTAGATTCTTTGAAGTAAGAATAAATAAAAGAAAGAGAAGAATTAGAAGAAAAATTGAAAAGCTTAGAAAATAAATTTAGAGTCCAAAATATAAATATTGAAATATTTTGGAGAGAAGTAATTAAGGGGAATAGTTCTTTTCAATAAAATCCAATTAATCAAGTTTGCTAATTGATAAAAAAGGGAGAGCCTTTTGAATTTTTAAATGGAGATGATCTTACCATAGATTTTGAATTTTTATTTTAATTAAGAGAAAGATTATTAGATAAGGATGATAATAAAATACTGTGTTTAAGTATATTGGGACCATAAAGTTCGGGAAAGTCTACATTGTTAAATAGGATATTTGGATGCCATTTTTTAACTAGTATGGGAAAATGCACAAAAGGATTATTTCTATAGCTATTAAAAATCTCAAATAGAGAATAATTTTAATATTCATTTGATTATATTTTATTATTAGATTCAGAAGGACTATAAAGCCCTAATTAATAAGATCCAGAGTTTGATAAAAAAATTTCTCTTTTCATAATTTAGATTAGTGATATTCTTATATTTAATGTAAAAGGGGAAATTCATTCTACATTTCAAAAATTAATTGAAGTCAGTTTTTACACAATTGCAAAATATTCTAAATTACAATTCTTAAAATAATTTTCTTGGTGTTTTAATTAAAATAGTTAGAATAATGAAGGCGAAAAATATAAATTGTTAAACTAAGTTTAAGACATAGGAAAAAGATTAAGTCTTGAAGAGATTTTAATTGAAGAAGATGGAAAGAAAATTGAATATTTTAAGCAACTAGATCTCACAATAAACAATATCTATATTCTGGGAATGGCAACAAATTTATAAAAATGGCAAAATTCTGATGATTCCAGATAAAACTAATTTTAAGAAATGATATAAGAAATTAATAATTAAGATTATTCCAAAAATGCAATATCATTTGGAATAGATATAATAAACAAATTTATCAAAAAATATAGGGAACCACAAAACAAACATAATGACAATTTTACTTGGAATGCATTTATTACAAAAGTGTAATAATGTTGGGAAATAGTCTCAAAACTACCTGACTTAGTAGAGTTTTCTGATTTAAAAGAGTAAAAGGATTACGAGACCATAAACAAAATTGCAACAGATAAAATGGTGAAAGTAAACGAAAAATTTCAAGACTTTGATGCAATCATTTATTAGATTGAAGAAAAGTGTAAACTTTATAATAATTCTTAAGAAAATTATGATTAAATTCAAAAAGATGCTCAACAAGATTTTATATCTAAGTGTAATACTTAAAAAGAAGAAATATTAAATGAGTTATAACGGGAATATTCATATTAAATAATTTCAAATTCAATTAAAAAAAAAGTAGAAGGTAATATTTCAGAAGTATATTATGCAATTGCCTTGGAAGGAACTTTGATAATTTTGTAAAAGATTCACTAATTAAGGAGAGAATTTCAATATAGTCGTGTTCCTGCAAAAATTTAATAAACTCTAAATGAGATATTAAATAATTCAGAATTATTAAAAACTTTACAAGAAGACAAAAGTTTAAGAGATAATAAATTTGAATAAATTTGGAGTGAATTGGTTGAACCAACAAACTAGGAATTAAAAAGTCTTCACACAGAATTTCAAAAAACATTATTTGAATGTTTTTCAAAATATAAGAAATACTACTAGTATAAAATAGAGGATATGGATGAGCAAATCGATTATTTTGCAAGGCAAATTAACTCTTAAGATCCTAGAACACAAAAAGAGAATTAAATGGAGAAAATTTGCTCTCTATTTTTGAAAGTCTTTTAACAGAATTCTTTCAAACCTATTGATTAAAGGAGTAATTTATAATTTTAACAAACTTTTTATTAAGATATTAATGATAGACTTAATAATTTGCCTTAATCCCCTTTTATCGATCCATGGAAATACCTGACAAAGGAGATTACTTTTTAAGCTATAGAAAAAAAAAAAATTGTTGAATTACTCCAATAAAGTTTGAAGCCAAAGTTAATTTAAATTGTATAAAAAGAAACACAAGAGAAAGAAAAATAATTAGAAATTAAAAGTTTATTTAACTCATTGAATATGTTACCTATACAATTTGATCAACTTATCTTAAAGAATGTACTTAATTTAATTGAATCGGATTTTTCAATATTTTTGAAAGGTCTTACTATAAATAATTAACAGGAAAGATAATAATCTGCATAATTTTAATAACCGCCTTAAAATTAATTCTAAGGAAGTATATATTAGTCTATTTTAGATTCAAATGTAAACCCATAATCTCACGATTTCACCCCATAATCAAGGTCCAATTGTTCAACCAATCCTTTTTCATTTCCTCAGTAAGGTAATTTGGCTTCTGAAAGAAACAGCTAATAATAATACCCTATATAACATCCATATCCTGATTTTCAAAATCCACGTCCTGTATTGCAAAACCCACCTTTTGCTTTGCAAATTCCAAGTCCTGTATTGCAAAATCCACGTCCTGTATTGCAAAACCCACCTTTTGCTTTGCAAATTCCAAGTCCTGTTTAGCAAAATTCATTTAGTGGTTTGCACAATCGCCAAAATATTTAATTTAATTAAATTGTGAGATTTCCTGATCCTTCCATTGATAGTCTAATAAATTCTTTAAAAGTATCTGAAACTCAAACCCAAACAATGGATTTTTTTAAATTGAATAATCTCTATGGAAACTTTCCAGGATTATACTAATTATAAGAATCATTATAAATGAACAATATAGATAAAACCTAATATTTCATCCTGAAAGAGAATGTTTCAATCAAATTTAAATAAAGAAGGGAAAAGCCTAATTATTAATATTGTTTTAAATATATAATATCTTAAAACAACACTCCAACTAACTCCAATGATTTTTAATTAAAGTTTCCACCTATATTTATAGAAATCATGGAAGAAAATTAAGGATGGATTAAATTATGCTCAACTATTTATGATATAATCTAAAAATAATTTGATGAAATATAACTTTCTGATAAATAAGAGTAGTAAAAATATCCTGATATATTTTATTTCATTATAAAGGACGAAAATGTGACAAGATATGATAGATAATTATTATAAAGAATAATTAAAAATGTTGAAATAAAATTAGAATAAATTAATAAAGAAATTGCTTTCTTTGGGATAGAATTTACTCAAGTACTCATTCGAAAACTTTAGTTTTTTTCATGTTTTATTATTTGGAGATTTATATGTTATGAGAAATTGAAAATTTATTAAAAAGAATAATACAATTTTCTGAAATAGAAAGAAGCATAGAAAGTTAAATACGAAAATTCAATATTATAAAAATAAAAGAAAGCAAGCTAATACGGAAAAGAATAGGCAATTATAATATACTAACTTTGTATTAGATAGTTTTATTAAGACTAAAAGATAAATATAAAAAATTAAATTATTTAAAATAAAATGTCATCTTCATAGCTAATAAAAAAATTAGATTAAGAAATACTGGTTGCTAGAAAGGACAATTTCAATTAAAATTAAAATGTTGAAGCATCAATAATTTAATACATTTGTGACTAAAGAAAATATATGGAACTACACATTGAGAAATTGATAATAAAACTTCAAAAAGACATTGTAAATTTATTAGATATATAATCTTATGTCTAAAATAGCTTAGGTTTGATCAAAAATAACGCAACAATCTTATTAGATAAAACTAAAATACTATTGAGTGATTAGAGTTAAATATTAGATGGTAATGAAAACCAAAATGTATAATTAGATTAAATTTTAAATTATATTTTAGGCAAGGAATTTGGGAAAAAAGAACAAAATTTATATTAATAAATATTTTTATATGATGAGAGAATTAAATAGGTCAACCTTCCAATTTAAAAAATTTTACAAAAGGATGCGATTATATAATTCTTAGATACATTTTTGGAAGAATTTATAACATAAATTTCTATATTATATGATGAGAGCAAAGAATTAGTAACTTTAATTGATGAATTTGAATTAAAAGGACAATTTGAAGAGATGAAAAATATTATGAATGGTTGTAACTAATCGTGTCCTATTTGTAATAGAAAGTGCGATAGTGAGCTTTATAATGAAGTTCATCAGCATAAATGTACAAATGGTCATCAATTAAGAGGTAAATATATAATTGATATACATTTAGGAATGAATAAAATATTAATCGGAAACTCTCCATCTCTATTTACTTGTGAAGAAATAGTTGATGATGCAGAAATCTAAATAATGGAGACTTGTAAAATTAAAACCTGGAAGGAAATCAAAACATACTATAAGAATTGGAGATTTAAGGATATTTTAAAACCAGAGGAATAATAACAAAATAAATTAAAGATGATAAATATTTGGAATGGAGGAATTGGCTAGTAGATTTGCTAAGAATTATCAAAATAATTAAAATAAGAAATACGATATTAATAGAAATATGATCTTCCGATGCATTAGTAGCATAGTTCAACTCATTACATTTTCATCCTTGATGATTCAGCGTCTATGATTGATCATTGGACATTTGTAAAAAATTGTGTTGAATCATAATTTTAATAAATAAGTAGGAAAAGTCATGCTAGGGTGAGTGTAGTCATTTTTAATATTACAGCTAGAGTTGTTGTAAAATGCGAAGAATTAAGAATAGAGGAATAGTTAAAATTAATCACTTTTCAAATGGGGGGAGGTACAAATTATGGACCTCCGTTTTAGTAGACATTAGAGATCTTAAAAGAAAACTAAGAATATGATAAGTATAAAATTGTTTAATTATAAGTTCTGTAATTCTCTTTTACACTGATGGGGAAGCTACATACCCTCAGAAGGTAATTGAATAGTATGGCGCATTATCAAAAAAAATGAAAGATTCAATTTATTTTTTAGCTTGTTCATAGCCTATTAAATCTTCATCACTAAATGAGATTTTAAACTTTTTTAAGAGAGAATTTATTTACTCAGAATGGAGAGATCAAATAACACCAAGTGACCTTAATAAAAATTGGGCAGAAATGATATCTTAAGCGCATCTTGATAAGTATAAAGCCTGATAATTTTATTAT